AAAGGAACTGCAAAGAAACTGTAAAGATTTTTTTGCAGATCTGCATCAGATCTTTGGTCAAATCTTGGCACATCTGCAATGCAGATCTGCTTCAAATCTGCAGAATCCCTTTGCAGAATCTGCAAAGATTTTTCCAGATTTATGTTGCAGAAAAATCACCTGGGCGTGGCATGCTCAAACAAAATCTAACCCGTCCTGTCTCGCAAAAGAACGGGAAGAAGTGGTATTTCTCTTCTACTGGATAGAGTGTATATATTGGGTGCGATTGTGTGTCTCTACAGCAGATGAAAGTCAAATATATTGATTGCCTGTTGAAAATAGAGTTCCCTTGCGACCATTTATTCACTTGTGAAAGTGAAGATAAAATGCCATTTTTTTCGGTTTTTATTCTGCACGAGCAAACAGATTATGCAATATGTTTCAGCTTTGTGAGAAGAAAATAGTTGTGTATCACTGTTAACGGAGTTTTTTTATGTGGTCTTCTTTTCTTCAGTGATTTCTATTCTGATATCTTTTTAAAAAAATTCAAAATTGAGGAAGAAAAAAGATATTAAATGAATAGAATCTTCTGAGTTCGAAATGTGCAGGATATCTATACACGATGAACAGAGAGAGAGAGAAAAGGAAAATACAAGTTAAAATAATTATTGATGACACGACAGACGATGATAGGAAGATAGATGACAGAGATCTAGAAAAGGGAAAAATGCACATACCAAATAAAGAACTACTGATGACTCGCCATGCAATAATAAGAAATTTCTATTGACCACAGAAATACTTATAGTTCAATAAGGAGCGAGGTCACATGGTAACTATCACTACAAGAACAGACGATACTATGTTCGTGGCAAATATAAGAAGCAACATATGATAACTAAGGCCTTAAGAAGGCTGTTTGATCGAACCCTATTCGAAAACTAGCCAGCTTTGTCCAAAAAGGAGGAGAAAATTTTATTTAGGAGGAATGAGGAGGAAAGGACGACGAGTACGATGCCAGCTTAAGTCCAACATGATTGTACCAGCTGGTGGTAGTGGTGCACACGCTGCGATCGCACTATTGACTGTGTCAATTATTTATTCTCCACTTTGACTTATACTTGTGGCATTAACATCTGAATCGTAAAATAAAGAGAATATTTGTAGCGGTGAATATTTAGCGAGGGGTATATCCATTGCAAGAAATTTTTGTAATTTATTTTTTCTCAACGAATTTGTTCTACAAAGGGTAGAAATGGAATAACTGTGCTGATTGTCGAGCGAATGAATGGCATGTTTGAACTAACTAACAGAAATAAAACGAAACACGAGTTTCTTTTCAAGTTAATTATAACTGCTATGATGAGCGCTATTTCATAGAGTTCAGAAGATATCCCGCCCTCAGGAATTTGACTTTTTCTTTGAAACTGAAGAAACCATACGTTTCAGTCCGAAGTGTCATCTACCAGAATCCATCTCAGTTTGTCAAAAATTCAATGTTTTTGGAGGTTTTTGAAAAAGATTTCTGAAAACCCTAAAACTTACCTTTTTCTAAATTTCACATTTCAATTGAAATTGTTAAGGTTGTCCATTTTGACAGACATGGAGCTATGTTGAGCAGTGTCCTGATCAAAATAAGATGTCACGCAAACCTTCATATTTTTTTATTTTGAAGATGAGACATTTATCTAAATTTTGTTCGCAGCGACTTTTGAACTTCGTTTTTTGTTCAGAGAAAGGTGGAAAGTACTCGAGTCGTGGCTTAAAATACGTGTAGGGAATGAACGGAAGCGAAATTCAAAAATCGCTACGGACAAACTTTAGGTTTAGGTGTCTACTTTCATTTGAGATCACCCGCGGCTTTCTGCACCTTTCAACAAAAATGCCTTAATGTTTTTGCTAAGAGCCCCGTTTTGCTCCTTGTCAAGCAGTAACTCGGCAGCGCTTCAGCGTTTCGATCTCGAATATTTAGCGTAAGCTAGTTGGATAGTAAGCATTAGTCACTGTAAGCGCCATCGGAAACGGATGTAAGATATAAAACGGTTTTTTCTGAGGTTTTTTTTGATAAACAGTAGCAGTAAGTATTATAAATTGCTCGATCTCTTTATACCCTTCATCCAACAAGAATAATCAGTAAAACAATAATTTATGTGACATCGCATAGAAAACTGATTTCTGGTGGATATTTTAAATTATAAGTAATAGTTAGAATTAATTATATTCAACACTTATAGTTTTGTTATTTTTTATCTTTTTTTGTCAACATGAAAAATTTCCTACACGATTGTTTAAAAAATGTACACAGTCAATCATATGAGACAACAACAAAACAATTATTTCAAATTAGCCCAGACGATCCAATGCTTCAATCATGACCACACTATTGCCTCTGGCCACAACCATTCCAATCGGTCTTTTTTCACCGTTTTTTGTATGTTCTTGTGCTTCATCAATAACCAAGTTCATAAATGGATCGAAGCCTCGTAACACCTACAAATATGCCAAAAACTTGTTAGTGTAAAGATCCTCTCTGCACGCATTCTAATACAATCGATGCTGAAGCACTGCAATAATTCTTAGCTATTTCTATTAATACACTGATTCGAGACTTTTTTCCTTACTTACCCCAACAACCGTACGATTTCCATTTAATCTTAATTGACAGCGATGATCCATAAATTTTTTCAACTCCGGCGGATTTGCTTTACCACTCATTTTAGTTCAATAATCGCTTTACTAAAGTGGAAGTAAGAAATAATGAATATTTCTATCTAAAATAGTATGAAACAGAAAAATTGATTTTAAGAACGAAATGAACACAAAAACAAAAAATCAAAGTAATAGTAGAACTCTGACCGGTCGTTATTTCAAAAGAAAATGTTCCCAAAAGTCAGTGAACAGCACACCGATCGTTTGCTCTGTAGTGCAATTGACCTGATAATTAGTGGCAACTTTAAACGTGAGAAAATACAGAGTCAAACAAACAAATTTTCAGAAGCAAAATGAGAGAATCTACCAAAAAGGCGATTACATAACACTGAGTAGAAATAAACCAATACTCTTTAGACTATCCCAAAAGTATTAGGGTATGTATCATGCAATGGCATTTTATTGCCTTTACTGAGATAGTTGGAATAATTAGACAGACTGATTCCTAGGTAGTTCCAAACAGAGATCGGCCCGGTCCGATGAAAAGCCCGGCCAGTGCCGATGTTTCACACGGTACAGACTGAAAGTTTCTCGCCCGGCCCGTGCCGATCTCTGGTTCCAAAGCTAACAAGGAGCCTAGAGTAACATATAACGGTTAAAGTAATACTAAATAAAAAATAAATTCCAGTTTCCTAACAAATACAATCAGATGCACGTGATAAAAGTAAAACGCAGAAATATAACGAAACTATCCATTAATTCTGTGACTCTAAGAGGAGCCGATTTCCGCTAAAATTTGAGCGAACAACGGTATAGTTGCGATATATTATAACGGTAGGAACCTATCAGATACAATTGTGCAATAAATAAACAGTTCAAATTTATTGCACGTAAAAAGAGTTCAAATGAAAAAAACGTAGGAATAAATCAAAATAAATGTGTGAAATTAAGAAAATAGAAAAAGTCTGTCCTATAATAGAGTATAAAAAAAGAGTAGTTATTTCTTTATTCACAACTTGAAGTTAAATCACATTATGTTGAGCAGTTATGAACTAATTGAAGCGTCCGTAGAATTTGTGAGAATAATACGAAGTCTAAACAGGAGAGAAAACAATAGAGTAAGCCAGTAAGAGATAATAAAGCTTACGCTTTTCCAGCATGTAGTAATTCGAATGCTTCATTGATCTGTTCAAATGGAAATTTATGTGAAATAAATCCATCTAATTTCAGACTACCATCAATCACTTGTTGAACAAGTTTCGGTACAGAGTCACGACTCTTCCATCCTAAGTTAATATATAAAAGAAATTCGTCATTTTAATCATAATCTGCACGTATTTATTCGCGTACCCCCAAAAGCAGTTCCTTTCCATGTACGACCAGTTACCAATTGAAATGGACGAGTTTTAATTTCTTGGCCTGCACCAGCAACTCCAACAATAACTGACACACCCCAACCTTAAAAAATATAATCTCACTCACAGTGTAGCTCATTGACAAATAGATACAAAATAGCAAAATTTTCAATGAGATATTGATACTAACCTTTATGAGCACATTCGAGTGCTGTTCTCTAAAATTGATAGATAGCACAGATTAGTTTAGTGATCTATACCTGATAAGCAGTTTTGTGATTATGTACAAAGGTCCTCTATAGCAACGACGTATTTATCCATGCGCTTAACAAACACTTATGCAGGAAACTACTTCTTCGGATTCATAGCGATGCCCATTTACACAAGTAGTTGATTCGTATAAATGTTATTCATTACTAATAAGTCTATTAATACTGCCCTAGTATCGGTCTTTTTGTAGAAAGACTAGTCTAAGTTTTATAAAACCCAATAACTAAATCCGCTTAACACATTTTAAATCGATAAAAGCGATAGTTGTCACTTCACAGATCAACTCAGTGAAGTTATCTGAAATGAGCTTACCATAACTTCAACATTACCAACCTACAATAAGAGAGATCAGTATGTAACCAAGAACAAAGAAGACAATTTACAAACTCACACATTCAAAGGTATAATCAAAACCACCATCAAAATTTTCAACAAGATACTGCTGTGCTGGAACTTTATCTTTGAGATCCTTTGGATTAAGAACATCTGTTGCACCAAATTGCTTCGCTAGAAGAAAAATGACTAAGATGTTGCTTGCATACGTCATAATTACTTCTTCATACAACTTACCTAATTCAAATTTATCCGAGTTCATATCAACTGCAAGTATTCGTTTGGCCCCAACTTGTTTAGCACCCTAGATAGGATAAAGAACAGTGGTGGTTTAAAAGGCAAAGGGAAATATATTCACAAACCATAATCACTGCGAGTCCAACAGCACCCAGTCCAAAAACAGCCACAGTAGATCCCGCTTCTACTTTTGCTGTATTAATTACAGCACCTAAAATAGAAAAAAAAATGAAATATACAAGAATAGAAGGAAAATTCAAAGAATCTACATACCATAACCAGTGCTAATCCCACATCCTAGTAAACAAACTTTATCCAGTGGTGCACTTGATTCAATCTAAAAAGAAAAAAATTGAGATGGAACGGAAACGAGAATCATCAGTTTTACCTTGCATAATGAAATTTCACAAACGACACTATATTCACTAAATGATGAGCAACCCATGAAATGATAAACATCTTTTCCCTGGCATTTATATCGCACTGTTTTATCAGGCATTGTCCCTTGGCCTTGTGTGACACTAAACAAAAACCATCACAAATTATGAATTGTACATAATGTTTGATAAAAAGAAATATACCGTATTGCTTGACAAAGATTTGTTTTGGGATTTTTGCAGTATTCACATTGATAACATTGAGGAATATACAGTGGAATAACATAATCACCTAAAGAATCCTCAGATAAGCAATGATCTCTAATATCAACGAACTTAAATTCTATCATCTCACCAGGTTTTACTGATTTAACACCTTCTCCAACGGATTCCACAATGCCAGTGGCCTCATGACCCTAAACAAATACGAAGCGTTTTTATAAAACAACAGTTTCTTTACAAACATCGTACAAACCAAAATCACGGGAAATATGCCTTCAGGATCCAAACCATCTAGTGTGTAGGCATCTGTATGACACAAAGCAGAAAACAAATTCTAAAGAAACAAACACATTTCAAAAACGTGGAATCATAACGAGGTAAATAAAACACGGAATAGAAATGTTCTGGGAATGTGTGTATTCAGAAAATTTAATCAAACGAGAGTTTCTCTTCTAATAGATATGCTTTGGCCAGGTACGCTTACGTAATGAAGTCGGTACTTGTCTTTTTTCTAGAGGCAAATTTAAGTACTTGTCAAGTAAAACTTCGAATGCTTTTCCAAAGTACTTCTTAGTAATAAAACCTAACATTGTAATTTTGGAGAAGTATTTGTAGCAACTAAGTAGTTTTGAAAGCACCTGCCAATTTTTCCAAGTACTTACTAAGGCTTGCCAAGCAATCAAGTATTTGAATAGAATATGTTCAATACCTTTTCTTAATTTTTTGATATTTGTCAACATTTGTTAAAACGTTTTCGACGCCACTTTTAAAATTTAAGATTTTATATACTTCATTAGAACGAAATTCAAGTCTATTTCTTTCATTTATGCAGAAAAAATAGCTGTCACGATATTATTTCTAAAGACTGATATTGTTATTACTACTGATAGTGGAAAAGCTATTGGTACGAAAAACGATCTTCTTTACTTTTATTCGAACTTCTCCTTTCTGGGGTGGCATCACTTCGATTTGTTCTATCGTCAACGGCTTTTTCGCTTTCCATGCTACAGCTGCTTTGCAAGTAATAATCTAAACGAATACAACAGAAACGAAAGCTGACAGTTATCGGCGAAAATTATAACTTTACTTACACCGGGAACATTTGATGCATTGCCTGAGCTCATTTTGCTGATCTTTGTATGACTAAAGGGGCAAGGTTTTTACGTTGAAACTCAATGTAAACTATTATATCATATCAAGACTTCTATACAATTGAAATGCGGTGAGAAGATAATCCATAAAATACCCTTTTCGGATCAATGAAAAGTATCTGAAGTTAACTCGTTAGTGGCAAATAAAACTTATAACGTGTTTAAGTTAAAAATAATTTAAAGATTAGATACAAAGTACAGTGAACACACTTTTATTCTGGCCAAACGCTAGAATAGTAGCGCTTCTTGAAAATTCACATTTGTATTGGCCAGGCTCATCATACAGTCAAGACGAAGGAAACAGCTGCTTGAGTTAGTTGCTGCCAAACAACACAACAACAAAGAAGACAGAAACAAAGATATGTTAATGTAGTTATCTCTTTGAAATCATTATTACTATTCATATTAATGTAGGAAAATGTCTGGTTATTGTTCGCTGCTCATTAGTAGTAATTTGTCTACCTTGCACAACAAATAGGAGCGCCATCACTCTTGAGTTACTAATTACTCTGATGTCGCTTTAAAAAATCAGCGCATTCATAAGAGAAGTACCGAATTTTGTTCTTATCTTCGTAAAATGAGATCGATCTTTTCGCTAGTATTGTGCTAACTGCAGTTCACAGTAGTAACGTCTTAAACATCTTTGAAAAAGCAGCTTCTGGTCTGAGACTAACAATCAGAAATACAAGCGGGAACGTTGTTTTTTTCTTAGTTTTCTGTTTAGACTTAGGAAATACCTCGTTCAATTACGGTCAGCATCTATCCATGCCATAAAAAAAAGAAGAAATGGCTGATTAAGCGCAATTAATCAGCCGATTAATCGTGCGCTTAATCACGATTTTTAAGCAGAATTTTTTGCTGATTCATCTCGATTTTGAAAAAAAATCGTCGATACATTTCGACTAAGTGCATTTCTTGCTGAAATCGTCAGTAATCGTTGAGTTTTCGGAAAAACACATGATTTCAGCAAAAATTTCGTACTTAGTCGAAATGTATCGACGATTTTTTTTCAAAATGGAGATGAATCAGCAAAAAATTCTGCTTAAAAATCGTGATTAAGCGCACGATTAATCGACTGATCAATTGTGCTTAATCAGTCATTGCATGCCGGTTTCCACCGCATGGGTAAACAATGGAAAGAGGAAAATAGAGTTATTTTTTGCTTCATTGCTTGTCCAGTTGTGTAATAAGTGATCACTGTTTTAGTAAAAGTTTTATAACTTTATTGTAGGCATTTTATTAATATATTAGTGGAAATTTCCTGACGCTCGTGTTAGAAAGAATGACTTTGGCAGGTTTTTTGTTATGTCCTGCATAATAGAATGCATTTTCATGAATAAATTAGTCTTAGTTAGAATAAACATTTTTTTGTTGTTTTTAAGATTAGAAGAAAAATTAGCCACAGGATAATGTCGCGTGTTGAGGCCTATTTAAATGAACAGAAACAAGGCGGTCCATTGATAAACGAATGGCTTGAACTAGAATCATTATATCAACGACGATTATGGCATGAATTAACATTAAAAGTAAACTCTATTGTTCATCGAGAAGAATTACAACAAGGTGATCAGTTATTAAAATTATATGAAAATTTTATTTCTGATTTCGAACATCGTATTAATCAATTACAGTTAGTGGAAATTATTATACCAATCACACGTGTATTCAAACAAGCTGATGAAGCCATTAAGTTTGTAGAAACAATTAAAGAAAAAGTTAAAGGAAATTCATTAGCGGTTCTACTGTGTGATATAACAATAGCTAAAGCTTATTTAGTAACAAAAAATTTACCAGAAACGAAAAGTATTATTGAACAATTACAAACGAAGTTTGACGAAATAGACCATGTAACATCTGTTCATTCACGTTATTATGATTTAGCATCAAATTATTATAGTGTCATGGGAAATCATAGTGAATATTATAATAATGCATTGAAATATCTAGGTATGTTCGAAGAACTCATTTGACTACCATTAGCACTGCTACAATTTTGAAAATTGAGTGAGTGCAGAAGCGTACGGAAATAAAATGCAGAAAAAGTTCTAGTTCCTCAAATATATTAAAAGGTTACGTTTACTGTAAAAAGCCACGCATCGTCGGAGATTCGCTTTGTAAGAGAAAACGCCAAGTGCTGATGACATTATTATTCTTTACCGACTTTTCTTTCGAAATGGAACTATCGGATCTTTCAAGAATCCGTTTTGAGAAAGGAGATAACTATGAAAATAGAGAGTATTCCGCAAGTTGCTCTATGAAAAATTGCTATCAAAAGAATTTTGCTCTCTGGTAAACTTTGAACTTCAATAGCAGTCTCATTACATATTTAATATATGTAACAATCAACTGATCCGACATACACTCACTCATGCAAACGAACGATGGGACTTTCTATTCGCTATGAATGACTGAATAAGTTAAACTCCCAGCATATTGTGAAGAAAAAGCTCAAAACAGCATAATATGCATTTTTCGGAAATTAAGTACATCCGACAAGCCTTTTAATAGACATTCAACATGTTTTCTCCTCCCTTATAATGAAATCGTGTGTGCAATCTTCATTAAAATTTCGGGGAACAACTTTCATGGATTTCTTCTCTCTTTCGAATATGATCCCGCCGCGTAAAGCGAATAAAATGTGTTCACAAGTCGATTAGTATGTTAACGGATACGGATAAACAAAGAAGAAGCTTGCTTGTTGGAGATCAAGATGCGCTATCGGTTTAATTTATTTTAAACGGAAGAGTATGATCTAATTTTAAAAACAAAGCATTTTTTAAAATTAATTTCTATACTAGTCAGATTGTAGAATGTATCGCGTTACATATATCCATAAGTTTTTTTCCGCTTGAGAATATACTTTTTTAACGTTCTAAACACTTGAAAACAAATCTGTGTATGACTATTATTCTTTTCAAAATATGAGATCAGCATAACCTTTTCCAATAATTTATGAATGAAGATAGATAAGAGTAGTTTTCGTCATTCGAGAGAACAAACCGATGAACGTCTTTTGTTAGGCAAACGAATTATAAAATCCTTTTCAAAATTAGGTTTTCTAGATCATTCATTTCTAGACCTTCATTCATAAGTTATTGAAAAAGTTTGTGCTGTTCCCGTGTTCTCAAAAAAATAATATGTGCAGTAAATGTCCAAAAATTTATTGTTTTTTCGATTAATATTTACAGTTTTCACAGAAGACAAAGAGTTAATCAGCTGAGCAGTATTTTAAATTGTAAACAAAATACTGTTTAAATATTCTAAAACTTCTGAATACAGGAAAATATGATGTACTGAAGTCTACGTTTAATTTTAGAAAAAATAATTTTGTTTTTAGAAGCCGATTTTTAGAGACACGGATCTCCAGGGATCTAGGGTTATCTACGAATACAAGATTCGTAATTAGTATTCTCAATTACCTACTATATCATGCGCTTAATACACAAATAATCTTTGGGAAATTTTTCAAATCAGTGTTAAAAATGATTTTTGCTTATTTTAGGTTGTATTGATAGCAAAACAATTCCTGTAAAAGAAAAAGCTGAACGTGCATTCAATCTTGGTTTAGCTGCATTATTAGCTGAAAATGTCTATAATTTTGGTGAAATATTACAACATCCAGTTTTAGAAGCATTAAAAGAAACACGTGAACAATGGTTAATCGATCTATTACAAGCATTTAATGTTGGCGATGTTGATAAATATGAACAATTAAAAAATGTTTGGCAAGTACAACTCGATTTACGTATGGCTGATCCAACTTTAAAACGAAAAATAACATTATTATGTTTAATGGATATGATATTTCATAATACATCACAGAATCGTTGTTTATCTTTTAATGATGTTTCCAAACGTACAAAATTACCTTCTGACGAGATTGAGTTATTGGCTATGCATGCACTTTCACTAGGACTTGTTCGCGGTTCAATTGATCAAGTGGATGAAAAATTAAATATGCATTGGGTTAAACCAAGAGTTCTAGATTTAACACAAGTAGACACACTAAAAAAACGTTTGGATAGTTGGGCAATGGATGTGAAAAATATGAGTTATTTAGTTGAACAAAAAGCAAGTGATATTTTATCGTAAAAAAAAACAATGAATGAAGAATAATAACAACCACAATGCACTTTTTATACAATTAAGAGTTTGTCATCGTCTCTATTGTACTTATGAGGGAGGTTACATTTGTGTACTTCACTTTTTTCTATAAGTGATTTATGATTCTGATTATGAACTTAATATTCGTTTTGGCTGATAGAGTGTCTATAAAGTGATAAGATCACAAAAACTACTTTTTAAGAACCCGTTTTGGGACAGTGGCATTTCCTCATATAGAAGACTTTTTGAGTTAAGTATTACTAAATAGGAAAATATATCCGTCAAAAACTAGTTCTTCAAAAGTCGTTTTTGTGATTCTATTGCTTTATAGGCAGTCTACCAGTCGAAACAGATATTGAGTACGTAACCACCATCGCAAGTTATCTATAAAAAGACTATTAGATCAAAAAAGTGAAGATACACCTAGGGACTTTTCGCGTATTAGTACATTTATGCGGAGTGTAAGAGAATTTGTTTGTTTTTAACTCTGTCATAAAAAAGATGAAACAAACAATGATAGATTTTGACAACACTTTGTTATAGCATCTTTCCGGTTTTTTTCTCGATGATAGATAGCATTCGTATAAAATGTTTAATCTAGTAAATGTTCTTCTTGAACGGAAAAAACGTTGTAAATGATTCCATGTCCAGGATGAATGTGTTTCAAAAATTGTTTTCTTTGTTCTATCTTCGAAAAAACTTTCTCTTCGGTAATGTTTTGTTTTTATTTTTTGTTTGTTGTTGGTTGCTTTGCTTTTTTTGTGATTATTTAAAAAACAAAAACCAGAATCTTGAGAATAACGTCAATACCGTGGTAGCTCTAAGCATACTTTATCCAGCATTTATTCGTTGCTTTGAAAAAATTTGGATCTATCGTACCTCACATTATCTCTCGATCATGCGTTTTGAGTGTTAAGACGATAGTTAGAAAGTATTCCCATTCTATTGTCTTATACTGCTTTCCGATTCATACCCTTTTACAGAATTTTCATTTTTATCCTCTTCTCTAAAAATTGATAAATAGTCGAGCAAATCAGTGAGGGAAAGAAGAAGCACTGGTAAAAAATATCACGTTCCTCCTTTCGATTTATATTTATTGATCGTTGGAGATTTTTTGTCAACCTACAGAAAAGTATGCAGAAAATGATTCATTGCTGTGGGATGTTCAGAGTCAAGTGAAAATCCTACTGAAAACACAACACTCTGTTTTATTTTATTCGAATATCTGCTTGTGCATGTAATCACGATTTCCTCTCGTTTTCCTTGCATTCTAACAGTAATTCGGTTAATAAATATGCTGCATCGTTTTGTAAAAATGTCACTTCGTTATTCTGGTTAGGTAAATCAATTAAATATTTGAAATACTGTATTGCTGCGTCTTTGTAATGCAATTCATAAGCGGCTATAGCCAAATAGAATAAGTTTTGTTCGAAATAAGCATCTAGTTCATAAACTTTTAAAAAATAAGTATATGCTTCCCCTAACGTTGCTTTTGGTATGGGAATTGATAAAAATGAATAAACAAATTTTTCTAAACACGAAAAATGTGCTATGTCATATTTTAAACGTCCTAAATAGTAGAGCAATTGTTTATGGATATTGTCTTTTTCTCTTTCATATTCTAATGCTAACTTTAAATGATTGGCAATAATAGCTGGTTTTTTAATTTTTTCTCGCCAAGCATCAAATGCTTGTAGTGACCATTGAACAAGAGCATAACGAGCGTGCACTACGGAGTTGTGCGACTTTATTTGGAGCATATCGTGTAAGATTTTTTTCTGTAAAAGTAACGTTGAATATGTTTGACTAAACGGAGTTAATAATAGCCAATTTAATAAATCAGTCATGACTTTTTCTGAGTATTAATAGGAAAATGATTTCTTATTATAGTCAACTCATTATTTATGTTTTGAATTGCGCCAAGACGAGTTTCAGAAGAATCAATTTTTTTAATATGCTACTTTAGCAGTAGCGAAGTAAACTTATCATCATTATACTCTAGACAAAATTCTACTCACGTCCTATATATTGCCTACTAGCATTCATACATTTATTTACTACTTCTTTCTTGTTTATGCAAGTGTTGTGTTGCCCGCTCTAAATCAGTCACTTGATACTAATCCTGTAACTCCCGGAAAATCCGATACCACGCTTAAACTGTTTAAAATCAGCATTCCTCGTTCACTAGAGGGTATTTTGGATCTATGCATAATAAAAACCCGATATATTTCTATTTCAAATTTTTGAACTATGAGCAGATTTTTCCCTCTCAAACTAAGATGTGGCAAAATTCTATGCAACTCCGCACGAAAGCATTTTCCTACAAACTGTAAATGCACTAAATTTTCCCACTGTTGGTTTCACGATCATTATCGTTCAGTATTTACCAGTTTTTATAGTCGATTTAATGTGCGATAATAAATTTCTTTTTGTTTGAAGGTCAAACGTCAACACAAATTTTATCTGTACGTTTTGAATGGAAAAGCGTTTGACCTGGATCAAGCGATGAAGATCGCACCGATACAACAAAATAAAATGTATGGGTTTGTGTGTAACCTCTTAGGATTATGATAGTACAAACGGGAAAAAGATTCACTACTAAAGCATTAATTGTACTCATCTTACGTTCAACAGTCACACCTCATCTCTCACTGGTCGGCATGAGAAAATGAGCGGATAGATTGTACTCCAGAAAACGAATAATAAAGCACAGCACTTAACAGTAAACAGCATTGACGTTACACATTTTAGACATACGTAGAAATCTAAGTTTTGTAGAAGGTCAACCGTTGCAGGATCGGATGTTTAATAGACAAGAAAAACAATCAGTTCAAAAAGAATATGTATCATCCCGTATGAGCAATACGCATTGAACCAGAACTAATATTGTTAATTATAGTAGGATCTAAAATATTAATTTCAATTCTTGATAGCTGATTGGTACCAAATCTATTTTTCAAATCGTAGAAATTGTCTTGTTGAAAGCGAGAATGAAAATTGACCGAAAAAAAAGAAAAAATAGAATTTGTAAACATACACTATCTTACTCGGTGAAGAATATCATTTTCACTGAGAGTTCACGAAACACATTAGTAGTAATGAAATATACTAGTTCTATTGTGTGATGATAGCCAAAATACCACTAAGTGGCTACTATTCGTATTTTTATTATCACAAAACAACAAAAAGAAAGAAAAGCCGTGGAAACGGGATGAAACGCTAGCGTTCATAACGACAAAAAAATGCTAGAAAAAATGCATTTCTCCGCGATACGATAGTAACTGAATTTGTCTAATGGAGGGGGGGGGCATTTTTCTTTTAATCAGAAGAACAGTTCAAGATGCCTTCTAAAATCGTATATAATTGTTTTTTTACAAGAATTATTCACTCGCAGAAAAATGCGGTACCAGGCACAGATGTCTGACTTTAGGGTGTCAAAAAACGTCACGGCGTTAAGGTCCGTCTTTTCATAATAAAAACGAAACGACAAAAGTTCGCATCCTAATTATTTTAGGGTAGCTCTATTGCCACCACCGGTGGTATCAACAAGGAACTATTGCCACCACCCACTATCAAGCAAAATCAAAGAGTGGGTGGTGTCAACTACAGTTATTAACAACAGACAGTGCCTGGTGTGCAACAATTTAAAACTTTTTACATTTAAATAATCTTTCCTTTTAATTCTATTACTTTATTCAATAAAATAAATACCAACACAGCTACTAAACACTAAAACAACCTCCAAAAGCAAATCATATTTTGGTCTTGATCTCTCACGCAAAACTGTCTCGCACGGTGGTGTCAATAGCCGTGGTTGACATCACCTACTCTTTGATTTTGCTTGATAGTGGGTGGTGGGAATAGCTTCTTGTTGAGACTACCGATGGTGGGCAATAACCATTCCGATTATTTTATCGTAGATGCGAAATGCTTGGCTGCACATAGTAATCAGCTAAGAATGGATGAGAAAATTTATTTGTAATAACTTAAAAATTGCAGATAACTAAAATAAAAAAAAGCAGCATTATGCCATGCTTGGCAATGTTCATCCTGCTCGAAGAAGAATTTAGTTCTAGATAAACCGGGACAGTTTCGTCATTCTCATTTGTATTTTTTTGTGTTTGTTTATTGTTTATTGATATGGCAAATGTAACTAAATCGGTTGTTAATTTTTTATTGTAATCATTTGGCAGTCTTATGTTTTCACTCCCGGTAATGTTATCAACAAATGTTAAATTTTTCTCAATACCTGCATCACCTAATAATTTTAAAGTGTCAATTATGTGAAGAAGAACGGTCACTTGTTCTTTTGTATAACTTTTTATCGTATAATACAGTCGAATCGATTCGTTTATGGGCAAAAAAAATGGTTGATTCGTTACTTCAATTGATATTGTTGTCGGTGATATCAACTGCTTTTCTATCCGCTGTATTTTACTGCCATTTTGTATAGTAATCAAGGTAACAATACGAAATTTTTTACTCGGTATTGTAATATTAGTCAACGATCCAATCTCATCGTGTTTAAATGAAGTCAGGTTTGATAATATGCTACCGAATTGATCGATAATCGTTATTTGAACGCCAGCAGTAGCAAGATTCAGGTTTTCGCACGTTGTTAGTATCGTTAAATTAGAATGAACGATTGGTTCAGTGGTCAACTGCGTATAACCACTACTATCCACAGCATCTAGCATTGTCTTTTGTAGTGTTGATGAACAAGTCAGATTCGTTTTACCTTGAATTTGTATATCATGAGTGAGTTGAGAAAATTTCTCAGTTGTTAATTGCCATGTGCCTTGGGTCGGTTTCGGTATATTCCACATATGAAGATGCTTGGTTTTTTCAGAGTTTTCGTGTAGACGATATAGAGTGTTATTCGGCATTTTCAACTCCACTTTACTAATGTTATTGATTTCACCTAAAATAAAATATACTATAGAATCTGTTTCTCACCCATGTGCTTATAAGCACATGGGTGTATAACATCAATAAGTATACTTATTGATGTTATATCAATCTGAAGCTCGTTAATCGAAGAATCAACTTGAAATGAGATGGATGTTCCATTTGATTTTAACAGTAAAATTGGTTGTAACCTTGTCCATTCCAAACGTCGGAGAACAAATTGGGATATAGCTGATGTATCGTTCACAGTGATTGGAAACGTCAGTCCTCCACTAATAGTCGCAAGGTCTGTATTGTCGCCGCTACCATCGAGTGGATCAATAACATCATCACGAATTTTTGGTGTTAATAAGGCTCTTGTTTTGGCTTCCTGCCCAATGAGTGAATAGACCACAATTTTTTTATTACGTATCAAAGCTAGAGCCTGATGCTTCAGATAGGCGTCTTTCGCTGGAGAATCTGTAAAGGTGTAGACGACGGACCCGTATTCACAAACTTTCAAACCTTCAACAAGACCATGATAATACAGTTCTCCCGACGTGTTTTTTTTCTTTTCACATGAACTCAACTGTTGAATGACGGATATTAAGTTGCTGGGCTCTCGGGTATTCACTATAAGATTTGCTAATTCGCTGTTAAATGAAGTCAATATGTAATTGTGTGGTGCATAATCAAGAAGTTTATATTGATTAACAATACCCACTGATATTTGTTTTGCCAATTCCACATATTCCGCCATGCTACACGCGGTATCAATTGATACCATCAAACTATTCAAATTCTTTTTCAAACCAAGAAATAGCCCAAAATCCTCATCCTTGGTGTCATTCCAAAATTTTTTTAATATATCGACAGTAGCTTGGTAAGCCATACTGGCTGCTTTGTAATGTAAATAACCATGTACTGAATCCAACTTGTCTTTATTAATTCCACCTTTTGCATCATCATTAGTAGTTGAGTCAAAGGAACCACCGTGAGAACATTTACCTTTTGGTTTCTTCTTTGATATAAAATTAAGCAAAATTGGTACGAAATAGCCACTTGTTAGCAGTTTTTTCTTGACAATATCTTCGTGGAGATTCGAGTGGCACTGTTCATCGGTACAATCAACACATGTTTGCATACCTTTCGATGCATATTCATTTTCATTAAAATGTCTTCGACCCAGTACTTGACTGGGTTCGGTATGTTCGAGTTCAATATAGTTTGTATGACTATAGAAATCCTAAATAGAATATATCGCTATGTAATTACTCTGAGACATTGATTGTTGCTCACTTGTAGCGTATGTAACATTGCACCGAACGTTCGCCGTGCTTCGTCATAATCACCACCGTTTTGTATACTATTTGTTGCTGCAATGTATCGTTTTAATATCACTTGTGAACCCTCCAACATGGTTTCGCTATCAAAATGACTTTTTTCACTAAATGCCTCTTTTAGATCCGTTTTTGTATTAGACGATGCGATATCTCTTACTATCTTAGCAAATTGAAATGGATTCACACTCTTGTATAAATGTCCAAATAAAATAGTCACGATTTCATTAACAATTTTACCATTACACTGACCGTTGGTTGCGTTGAAATTTGCTTCTAATGTTGCTGTATTCATGTTATGAACATGTTTTAAATAATCGATGGTAACACGACATACAGCACAAACGGTTATTTCATAATGAGTCGTATCTTCCTAGTAAAAATCTTAGACACTTCTTAAAATTATCTTACTAAGATCTTATAAGATCTTATCTTTTAAGATTTTGATAATATAATCTAAGAGCTTATCGTTTAAGATCTTAATAAGATTTAATGACTCGACTTCCATTTACCCTTTTGTTTTGCTGTCATTTATCCATATAAATGACACTGAAAATATGAGTGATTTTATGGTTATTTTTCTTCCAGACTCTGCTAGTACTTACTCTCTCGAAAGTGTTCAACAACTTTTTAGAGTGTACATGCAGGTTAAGGTCGATGATTAGACACCCGAAAATATGAAATTTCGCTTCATTCTTCAGCGCTGTCTAACTGAAGACAGCATTTTTCATAAACGCTAAAAAACAACGCAAACCATTCTTAATGAACCGTTCTTAATGAGGCATGATTGTAGCCCGCAAATTTCTGCTTAAAATGAGACGTCTCCCGGCTCTACATGATCTTTCTTTGCAAAGTTATACAATTTACAAGAAAAGCCCTAAATATTCATTGTCAGCTCACGGCTACAGAAATAAGAAGAAATTAATTCAGGGCTTTTGTTGTAAATTCTATAACTTTGCAACGAAAGGTCGTGTAGAGCTAGTAGATGTCTCATTTTAATCAGAAGTTTCGCGGCCTACAATCATGCTTCGTTAAGAACGATTTTCGTTGTTTTTTAGAGTTTATGAAAAACTGGTTTTCCGGAAAACGGCTCTCTGAAGGCTACCACTATGATATTCGGATTCAGCATAGGAGGCAGTGCAGGATAGGGACGAACTAAGTTGCTCAATGAACTTTTACAAATTTTTCTCAAAATTCCGGAGCAGATAGAGAAATGTGTCCTGGACATTTTTTTCCAAAGTGCTTTTCCTCGACGTTAGAACGTTTGCAAAAAAAGGTTGTAAAATACGGAAAAAAGCGATTTTCCAGTCGAAAATTTTGCTTATATACAATTATATAATTGTAAAAGTTGATAGAAAAGGATTTGGCCGCCACGGTCGAAGGAAAGGTCATCATTGAAAAATAAGGTGTTATTTGGAATCCGCGTAAAATGCTCTTTCTAGTCCATGTACCTCTGTTTTCCGAAAAAGTTTGCAAAAGCGAAATATTGAGGGCTTCGGAAAAATATCTCGGAAAAATCGAAATTTAATGTTAAAAGTCTGCGGTTTGCGCAGATCGACAGAAAATTGAATTCTAGATCGAGCTATTAAATCAGAAAAGCGTTTTAGCTGACGGAAGTGGCTGAATTTCAAGATAACTTTAGAAAAATGTTTCCGAAAAACCCTGGAAAATCCGAAGTTTTTGGCGTTTTTCTATTTTTTTATTCACTGCGGAATCTTCATTTATACATATTCAGATGCAGAATGAAATTCTGCGTCGAATAGCATATAGTACAATGGATTTTAAAAGAAATATTTTCAGGTTTTTCCGAGGTGCGGTGAACGTTTTCGACAAGAGACCCACGAGTGTTTTCCATCATTTTCCCAAAAATTCGACGACGGTTCATGGTAGTACTCTGGGTCTACTTCACGAAACCGTAAAGAGCGCTTCAAACGGATTATCTTCGGTTGCAAAAACCTCTTTGGAAAACAGCCTATGACGTTTCATCTATGTCTAAAGTATAAACTATTTCTGGAGAACGCTTAACTCAAACAAGTTCAAATTTTTATAGTTAATAACTTATAACTCACTAGGTTTGACTGAGAAAGCGATGCGACAGTTCGCGTGGTCTCCTCGTAAGCTCTTAACAAAATCTTATCAAATCTTAAAATTTTCGAGTTTGACGATCTTAGTAAGATTTGTGTAAGATCTTAGACAAATGTAAGCGAAGATCTTAGTAAGATTCGAGTAAGTTTCTTACTAGTGCTTCTGCTTTTGTGTTACGAAATGGACGAAGTTCCAATAATCCAGCATCAAATGCATCACTCGTATTTAAATATAGCAAAAACAGGTAGTAATAAATCTTTGGTACCATTTTCGATGAATTATATAAATGTATTATAATTTTACTAGCAATATAGTTACAGTAGTTATACGTTTATTATTCACAACAAACATTTACCTGAAGGATTATTCTGCTTAAATACTATTTAAAAAAAATCTACTAAAAAAACAAAAAAAAGAAATTAGATACCTGAAGAAAAGACGGTTTTGAGTTACTAACATAATTCTGATATGAGACAGAGAAAAGATTGTGGTGTGTTCGAGAGTTAGAAATGGGTATGATGATTTTATGTACGAAATGACGTCAGATCTTTTCACCGGTTTTTCAATTCAAATAAAACAATATGGTTCATAAACAAGTCAACCAATTATTAATAAATTTTTATATAAAGCCACAAGATATAACGATCATAAAGTTGATGATGAAGTTTTTGAAGATGTTATAAGATACCGAAAGTATGAGCGAGAATATGAAGGTTCAATCATCATTAACGTAATTTTCTCTACAAAATTGGATACTTCTATCATTTGAAAGAACTTAAAATTCTAATTGAGAAAATACCCTTCAAACCAGCAGAGAGGGGCCAAAAATTTCGTTCAGCAGAATCTTGGAAAAATTTTTATGTTTTCTGTACGATTTTTTTTCCTTATGGGAATAAATAATTTCATTGCTAGTGGCATCGGAAAGTCTTCTTCTGGTTTATACAACAAAAAATGAGGTGGGAGTTTTAAATTTTTGGTCATCTGCCTCGATTGCTTTATCTCTCATAAAAGGGATTAAATACAGAGAAAAGAGTAAAAATTAATTCGTTTAATGTTGCTATTGTGAAGTGCTTTTGTGCGCCTCAATAGAGCTGTTGTTATTCCCATGTATCATGTTAGTTAAAAGAGTCCAGCCCTTTAAGCAAGGGAGAAAAGCGATTTTCGAGGAAATGGTACCATATAGGACCATAATATAAGGATAGAGGATCATATAAAGATCATTTTGTCAGCATAAAAAGAGAAAATTAACTCTTTACCATCAATCTTAGTTTTTAAAAAGTGAACTAAATTAAATTAACTAAATTTCGCTCTTTTTAGTAAATTACCATCCATCCTAAAATATATGGCAGGTCGTTGTTTTTTTTAATAACTCAATAACGGGAAAAGATAGAGACCTGCGGTTTTCAGCAATCGAAAGACGACAGTTTAAGCTATATTTTCGCAAACAAAATCGTCTTTCGAAAACATTCTGAAGATCGATTTTCTGTAAGATCTTTGGAAAGCTAGCTAGGATTTCTAGAAACCAACATACTAATCTATTGTTCTCACTTAGAAAATTCATAATCCAGTCAAGATCCATTCAAATTATGTCAGAGTATCAAGATGTGCTCTATTTTACCTGCTCAATCCTATGCAGTTTAATAAAAGCTTTAAAAACTTACAGAAAATACTTCGATTTTTGAAATAATATACGACGAATGTTACTGAAAAGAAGATGTCTTCTGCATCTATGTAGACAAACTGGAAAATCTCATCATCAAATTCTGTTAGAAGAGTACTCGAAAGACTGTGATCTAAGGATACAAGAAAAGACAGATGAAATCAGTACATTGATTGAGAACACGACTGTAACAGTCGTGTTCTCAATCAAGTACTTCAAGATGGTGGAAATCCATCAAGCCTTTTTTAAATAACCGTTCTGATCGACTAATATCCCCCGTAATCGAAAATAAAGAAATAATTAATGCTTCCAAAAAATGGCCAATCTTTTTAACGACTACTTTCTTGCACAAACCAAACTTAATATTCCGATAAATCATGTAACACCGACAGCCATAAGAAAAAGTAAATTTACGCTACACAATATTTGTACAAATGAAGGTGACATATGGAAAATTTTAAGTTGCTTACCAAAATAAAAAATCACCACGTTTGGGCAACATTACTAATTTATCTTGAAGACTTGTAAGGACACCTTATCAAAACCTTTTTTCAAACGACTACTTCTAAACTATTTATTAGATTGCAGTTATTTTCCACTGTTATGAAAGGAGCATGTCGCTGTTCCTGTCTTTAAAAAAGGAGATAAGTCACACAAAACAAACTACAGAGCAATATCTATCTTGAGGTCTATAGACTAATGGTAAAAGGAAAAATATTAAACGACTAATATTAAAAATCGATTAAATATTTTTCCACCTTATTTAAATATTAGTTCGTCCAAGATTTTTCTTTATTTAAATATTTGTCCTTTATTTTAAAATAACTAAATATTTTTCTGTCTTGTGCGAAAAACTTTAATATTTTTCTATCCCGTCTATCTCATTCTAAATGGGGAAACTGATGCCGTAATTTGAACCTACCAAGAAGTTACGCATATGCGGAACCTGACTTTTGTACCTTATTTAAATATTTTTCTATCTTACAATAAGAAAAATATTTATTATTTCAGATAGAAAAATACTTAAATAAGACAGAAAAATATTTAATTGATTTTTAATATTAGACGTTTAATACTTTTCTTTTTAACTTTTTTCGGTATACCCCTTTCTTGAGTTCAGTATCTAAAGGTTGTATCTAGTTGGTTGTATCTAGAAAAGGTTGTATATTATCATCTAGAAAAATTTGTTAGGAACCTTATTACCATGAAACAGTGTGGATTTAAGAAAGGAGTTATTACTATTAATCAACTTACCTCGATTACACATCATCTATATTTAGCGTTAGACAAAGGACATCTTGTAAGAGATGTTTTCTTCGACATAACACAAGCGTTTTACAGAGTATGGCTGTTTGTTACTGAAATTAGAGCAGTTAGGAGTTGAGGGTCCCTTGCTTAAATGGTTTCGATCACCTGTCAAACATGATCCAATGCGTATGTGTCGAAGGTCACATCTCATTCGACAGAATGGTTGAAGCAGGAGTGTTCCAGGGATCACTCGTCGGACCATTCCAAATGAGGCACTTTTGATTATATTTGGAGTGTGCCGT